AAATTTTGGTCAATGACATGAGACAAAGTATATGTGAACTGCTGTATGAAAAGTGAATTTACTCTGTAAATCTTCACCCAAATCCTAAAAAAAAAAAAAAAAAGACCAGGTTTACTGGTCTGAGAGAGCCTAGTGAGAACCAAGACCATGGTCCCTAGTTACCTTTCAGGTCTGGAATTGAACTCACTCCCGTGGCTTCCAGCCAAACTATAGACAGGCATATAGGGTGAACATTTACACCAGGTAGATATACTCCTTAGAACTATCAGTCATGGGGGGACAGAAGGGCAGTGTTTGCACAGGGAGATAGCTCAGGGGGCCAGAATGCATAGGACAGAAGGACACAGGGAAGAGGTAACTATAGGGAGGAAATGAGAAGAGAGCTGGTATGTTGTGGGGAATTGCAGTCAATGTCATGAAACAAAATGTGTATGAACTATAACCTTTCACCCAAATCAACAAACAAAATGGAAAAAAAAAAAGAAAGTACATGGGGCCTGGCACTTGATAAATCTTTGCTGAACGAAGAAGGGAAGGGAAGGAGGAAAGGAGGCAAAGGACAGCTGGCTACCAGCTCTCTCAGGTGTTGAGGGAGAGGAGAGGGTGGCAGGGGTCCCTTGAATGCCCAGCAGGGAGCTGGCCTGGGGGTGGCACAGCTGGAACACACAGAGGCCCTCGGAAGACAACAGCAGCGCCCGGGCTCAGCTAGGAATGGTGTGGGCTCTGGAATCTGCTGGCTGAGGTGGCCAGCATGGCCTCCTGGGGTCGAGCCTGAGGGCAGAGGAGCATGTCAGAGCCAGGGGACCCTGCAAAGCCATGGGGGTCAGAGACGAGGAGAGTGGGGCAGGTCCTCTGGCATGAGCTGTTCTTACATGAGGGCACCAGCGGGGAGGGACAAGGGACAATCTAGTCCAGACAGTGCTTTTGTGCAAAAGAGACACCCCTTCCTCAAGGTGCTTTACCTCCATCTGGTAGAAAACTGTTGTAATGAATACGGAAATGTGTTGGTCCTGCAACGTGCATGGTAGTCCCTTCAATATGGAGCCCATGGGCAGTGTGTGCAACCTGTGCAACTGTACACAGAGGCTCTGGGGAAAGGGCATCACTGCCCAGGCAGGCGCAGAGGAAGACGGGGGAGCATGGTGGACAGACGGACAGGCTGTCTGCATCAGCAGGTATCACCGCAGATCTGTACCATCAGGCATCAGAAACAGACCCTAGGGTGCTGTAAAGAGAGGCACTGATGATCCCTGAGTCCAGGGGTAGATTACCCAACAAGCTAGATAAGCAGGGGCTTACTTGTACTTAATTATTAATGCTGAAACTGTCCACTACAGATTAGTAAAGAAGCCCGTGCTTACCTTGTTTATTGGGCAATCCGATACTACCCCTGACCACTGGACAGATCTCCAGGGAGTCTAAAGTGATAGCATCACAGATTCCCAGACTGGGCACCAGGGGGCATTGATGAGCTCAGCCTAGGCTCCCAAGATCTGGGTCCGGGGTCAAAGTGAGCGCCAGTCCCATTGCCTAGGGTGGGATCAGGCCCCTCGCAGACCCTCAGCCTGGGGAGCAGCTCTCTGCGGATCATTTCCATGCTTTTTCCGGGCCCGCCTCCTCCACTTCCAGAAATGGGCATAACTTCCTGGGCTCCTCCAGGAAGCTCCACTCTGCCCGCCCCTTTCCGCCCGAGGGGCCGGCCCGAAGCTCCCCGCCTCTCCCAGCCCCAGCCCAGCCTCAGCCTCCCTGGAGCTTCCGGCCAGAGGATACGCGCTGGGGCCGGACAGTTTTGGCCAGCTTCCTTCGCCGCCTGTGCCGCCGTTCTCCCCATTTAGGGGTCTGCCGGCCCCTTGGGCCATGGTCCAGCCCTCTGCCCCTCGTCCCCTCCTCCTGCCCGGCTGTCCCTGTCCCCTCCGCCCGGGCACTGCCCTGCCCCCATAGCCGCCAGGAAGGACGCGGCCTGGGGCCCGTGCCAGACCTCTGAGTGTGCGGCCCCTCCCAGCCAGGCCAGGAATGCGGCTGGACCGCGGGGGCGGCCACAGTCACTCGGCGCTCCGGCCCGCACGACACCCGTCCCACAGGCAGGCAGGTGGCCCCAGCTCGCCTGGGCCCGAGTTTCTTCGAGAAGGAAAGCATCACTGCCTGCCCCTGGGGAGCCCCTCAGTGCGGCCCGGTGGCCTTATATCGATGATTGGTACTCAGCTGCCCGTCTCCTGCCCAAAGAGAGGTGTAAGGCCGGGAGTGGATTTTATTTTTCCCGAACTGACTGGACTGCCCCCTATCTCGCACTATTTCCTGGAGAGAGCTGGCTGTCAGTGCCCTTTGGAGAGGCTCCATCCAGTCTCGTGGTTTTATTTCTGGGCCATTCTGAAAACTCCCTTCAGCCCTCCAAAGCCACACAGGTAGATTTCATTTTTCAAAAGTAGCCTGGGCAGCCCCACCCCTATCCAATACACACAGACACATCAGGGAAACCTGGCTGAGTGTGTTCGGGGAGTTGGTCTGCCTTATGGGCCCCAATGCAGCCACTGCCTTGGAGTCAGATCCAACTCATAAGGACCCCTCCTTGGATTTCCAACACGGTATCACTATGGAAATAGATTGCCCAACCTTCCTTCCAAGTACTGGCTGGTGGGTTTGAACCGCCAGCCTTCTGGTTAGTGAATGCCTTAGGCACTATGCCACCAGAGCTCCTCTCATGGGCACATAAAGCAGTAAAATTTAGTTTAAAACCCACCTCAAGTGACAACTTCCCAGAAACTCAGTTTTCTCATTTGTAAAATGGGGATATGACTAATGCCCATCTTTGAGACTGATCAGGATTAAATGTGTTCATTTTGACAAGTGCTTAGAACTGTGCCAGGTACACATACAGGCTCAGTAAATATTACACGTTATTATCTCACCCTCATGTTAGCCCAGAGACAAAGAAACATATAGACTTGAGATTTCCCAGGGCCGGTTTTAATTTCAAAAACTGACTGAGGTCTTTTCTCACATGTGAAGAAGTATCCCTGGCTGAGACCCCAGGGGTTTAGGTCCAGTACTTGGCCTGATCCACTCACATTCCAGCCACCAGGCCCTGTCACCCATCACTAGGATCAAGCCCAGACTCCCACATCTGCCCAAAACAAGAGGACGGATGTGAAGTTTCCCAGGACTGCATTCTGTCTCTCCAAACTGACCCACGCCCAGGCCTCTCTGTACCAGAGAAGCCAGATATGTCCTTCAAGGAGAGCTGGTCCATCCAGCAGGCTCAGTTCAGCCACAGTCCAACCTTCCCAGGCCTGGGGGTCAGCGCCCTGGCCCTGGTGGCCGTTCCAGTGCCTGTGTGGTCACTAGCATGTCCATGAGGTAGTCCAGCTCCGCCTCATCGAGCTCGGGAGCCACCTCCTTGCCCGGCCCCTCCACAGGACCAGGCTTGAGGCTCTCAGCAGCTGGTGCCCAAAGGTCACTGTCATACATGGAGGTGTCGATGTCCTCAAACAGGCCCTCGAGCCCGTCGTCCAGCAGACAGCCAGTGGCTGGACCCAACAGATCCAAGCCACCCAGGCTAGGTGGGCCCCCCCCAGTGGGGCGGCCTAGTGGCCCCTCATCTGCCAGGGGCTGGGGGGCCTGGCTCAGGCCCTCAATGTGGCTGAGGTCCTCCAGGAGGCTGGCCATGGAGGCTGAGAGAGCGGCGTCTGAGCTGGCCAGCAGGCTGTCAGCCACTCCGGGGGCTTCAGGTGGGCTGGGCACAGGTGGCAGGGCGGCCGCGGGCACCATGGACGCCTGGATGCGCCGCAGCGTGTTCACAACCAGCACCAGATGCCGAAGGTCCGGCTCACTTTGCCGCAGGCTGTGGTGGAGCTTGAGCACCGAGAGGTCAAAGAGGGAGCTGGAGGCTACAGCTGGGGGTGCCTGTGCTACTGCTGGGTGACCAGGGTCCAGCCACCAGGCATCAACTGCCAAGGCTTCCTTCTCCTCCTCCTCCTCCTCCCGCTTGCGCTTCAGGCCTTTGCTGAGCATCATCTGAGGGGAGGAAGGAGTCATTCAGTTATGGAAAGCAAATGTGTTCAAATCCTGGCTGTGACTATTGCTGTCTGTGTGGCCTTGGGCAAGTCACTTAACCTCTCTGAGCCTAGGTTTCCTTAGGGAACCTGTAAGAGATGGATAATAGTATTCACCTCACAGAGTTCTTTTAAGGATTAAATGAGATCATATACAAAAAGCACTTCCAACAGCACCTTTGTTGTTGTTGTTATGTGCCGTGGAGTCGGCCCTGACTCATAGCGACCCCTCCTTGGGTTTCCGAGGCAGTATCACTACAGAAGTAGGATTGCCCAACCTTCCTTCCGAGGAGTGGCTGGTGGGTTTGAACCGCCAGCCGTCTGGTTAGCAGGCAAGTGTCTTAGCCACTATGCTAGCAGAGCTCCCAACAGCACCTGGTACATAGTAATTACTCTTATTAATAAACAAACTCACTGCCATCGAGTCAGTTCTGACTCATACCGACCCCTCCTTGGGTTTCCAAGGTGGTATCTCTATGGAAGTAGATTGCCCAGTTTTCCTTCTGAGGAGCGGCTGGTGGGTTTGAACCGCCAGGCTTCTGGTTAGCAGTCAAATGCCTTACACACTATGCCACCAGAGCACCCTTGCTTATCAGTAAGTACCCTTAATTATTATTATTATTATTTTAACTATTCATTGAACTCTGAGAAATGGTCAATCTCCATCTTTTTTTAACTTACAGAAGTGGCCGTTTCACATAGTTCAATCTAGTGTTTATTGAATGTCTACTATGTGTCAGACAATAAACAAATACAGGAAAATTACAGGTGCTCAGGTAAGGATCCTCAAAGGTGACATTTGAGCACAAGAAGGGGTCAGCCATGGAAAAACAAGGGATAAAGCATTCTGGGATAAGCTTCGACTGAAAACAGACCATTGTGGCTAGTACAGAGAGTGGCATGGTAGTAGAGGAGGTGGGGACAGTAGGCAGAGACCAGGTCACAGTGGGCCCTATAGGCCAAGGTTAAGGAGTTTGGATGTCACTGTGATTGTGGTGGGAAGAATCACTGAAGGGTTTTGCGAAGGGAGGAAGGGGAGTGATGTTGTGAACAGGTTGGGTTTTCTAACTGCTCAGCAGCTTCAAGGAATTGTGTGTCCCCAAGAGCCAAGGGGAGGGAGACTGCTGTACTCCGTGGGGCAAACGATGATTGATGGCGACCTGGTGGTGGACACAAGGAAGTTGGCCAATTCAGGATATATCTGGATGCAGAGGGGACAAGACAGGCCGGGAAGTCCTGACTGGAACGGGAGTCACAGAGAAGTTCGAGGACCCAGACTCTCCCCGGGTGGGGAGTTGGTCACTAGATTTATGGACCACTGGCCCGACCTGCCTTTTTGACCCAAGTAACTTCCAGGATCCATGCCTGGGGCCCTTGCCCAGCAGGATCTTAAGAGTGACTCCCATCCTGTACAAGGCTGGGGTCTTCTCCCTTTTCTCCACAGACCCTGGTGCCCGGAACCGCAGGAATTTTGCCCCCACCGCCGACTCCGCCCCCGGGGCCCCGGCGCCCCCTAGCGGCACCCAGGTTGGCTTTCCCCTGGGGATTCCGGCCCCTCCAACTCCAGGACCCTTTACACAGCCCCGGGTCCTGTCTATCGTTCCTGCCTGGCGCCTGGCGCCGTTCCGGCGGGATCCCCGGCGGGCAATTCTGCCCTCCCGGCCTCCCGCTCGCTTCCGGAGGGCAGTGGAGGCAGCTCCTCCCGAAGCGGCGGCGGGGGCGGGTGAGTCACGCAGCCGGAGCCAGGGAGCCGGCGCCTCCGCCCCCTTTCCGGCTGCGGCGTGATTCACCCGGCCCGGCCGGGCGGGCGACACATAAAGGCCCGTGAATCCAAATCCAGGGCAGTCCCGGCGCGCACCTGCCGGACCCGGGGATCGAACCCATCAAACGACCCCGGAGCTAGTGCTCTTTCTCTCCCCAGACCCCTTCCTTTCGTTTACATACCCAGTTCACCAGCTGCCAATCAGAACGAAAAGTGAACCACCCGCAGCCAATCAGGAAGCAGCGGCGGCAGCATCGCTCGCTCGCCCTCCTACATCAACCGCCGCCTAGGTCGCGAGACGCACTTCTGACTCCAGCGCAGAACTCCAGACTCTTGACTCCCCTTAGCTCCCGCCTACTCCCGAGGCGGCTCCACCCTACTCCTCACGGATTGGCCTTGGACGGTGATGGGCGGAGCCTCTATGGTGTAGGTTGGAAAGGAAGGGAGGTTGACTTCAGAGCGCATGCTCTGGCGGCTGGAAGAGCCAGCAAGGACTCGCTATTTGCCCTGCGGAACAGTGGAGGGGAGGGGCTTTTGCGTTTCAAAGTGCAAGTCCATCACGCCTACCAAGGCACCTGCCAGACTCCAACAGGAGTCTTCACTCTAGTCCTGCGTTCAAATCCTAACTCACTATCAACTCAGTGCATGACCTGGGAAAAATATTTGATCTCTGAGTCACACACAGTTTGTTAAATGGGGCGCATCATGCCTGCCTCTTGAGAGTTGTGAAAATTAAAATAGTATTTGTAAGAGCACTATGTCAGACTTTTTAGCAAGTGCTGGACGTCTGGACCCTACTGGTAGCGGTGATGGTGGTAGCGGTAAGGGTACTGCTGGCGCCCTGGACTCCAATCCCTAAATAGCTGTGTGACCTTGGGCAAATGTAATCCCTCCCGATCTTTGTTTCCTCATCTTTAAAATGGGGAGAACATAACAGCCTTGGGTTCTGAAGATTGTTTTGAGGATGAATTAAACAATTCGTGTACAATGCTGAAGGTGGCACGCAACATGTCCTTTTTTTAGGAGTCATATCAGTCGTAAAGGAGCCCTGGTGGCGCAGTGGTTAAGCGCTCGACTGCTAACCCAAACGTCAGCGGTTCGAACCCACCAGCCGCTCTTCCCGGGGTGAAAAAGATGTGGCAGTCAGCTTCAGTAAAGATTACAGCCTCGGAAAGAAACCCTGTGGAACCGTTCTATAGGGTTCTATAGAATCACAAACAGTCTGAAGCGGCTCAAAGGCAATGTGTTTTACTAGCACTTGTGGCCACAGCACAAGCTATTTCTTCACGTTGGGAGTTCGAGGTAGGCAGGAGTGAAATAAACTGACAACGGGATTTACTCTCTTCTGGTAGTTCGTTTGGGGGGCCATGGGAGAGATTATAAGGAGCACTGGTGTAGTGCTTAAGGCTCTAACCAAAAGGTGGCTGGTTTGAACTCACCAACTGCTCTGTGGAAGAAAGATGAGGCAGTCTGCTTCTGTAAAGATTTACAGCCTTGGAAACCCAGTGGCAGTCACCGAATCAACTTGATGGCAGTGAGTTTGGTTTTTGCTGGGAAGGAATATGTTAATTGCTATCAATAAAGTTCCTGGCCAAAGGTAAGTACTCAAAAGTGCTAACTATGGTAGTTGATCCAGGATGGGGTTATCAATGGATGCGCAAACGTTCGGATGAAATATTGGTGGAGAACAGGGTCCCAAACACCACCCTACAGGTTACTTACTAATTGCAAAAGGGAAAATGACTCTTTATGGTGGGGAGATCTGTCACTCACTACCTAGTCTAGTGACATTACCAGGAAGGTGGGGGGGGGGTGGACCACACCGGGTAGCCCTGTCAGAGAATGTCATGGATTCGATTGCGTCCTCCCAAAATATGTGTCAGATTGGCTAGGCCATGCTCCCCAGTATTGTGTGGTTGCCCTTCATTTTGTGATCTGGTGTAATTGTCCTCTGTGTTGTAAACCCTAACCTCTGCCTGTGGTTAATGAAGCAGGATTAGGTTATGTTAAACCTTCGGTGATGTTTGTTACATTAATAAACCAGATTAGGGTGGGATGCAACACCCTAACTCAGGTCATAGCCCAGATTCAATGTAGGGAAGACTCTCTGGTGTGTGGCCTGCATCACTTTTTATCTTACAAGAGATATAAGGAGAGAGAAGTGAGTGGAGAAAGAGGGACCTGACTGCCACCAAGAAAGGAGAGCCAGCAGCGGAGCTCGTCCTTTGGACCTGGGGCCCCTGTGCTGAGAACCTTCTAGACCCAGCAGAAGATTGATGCCAAGACACATGGGGATCTCCAAGGAATGCTAGGCCTAAAGATGCTTAAAGGAGACAAGAGATCCCACAGGGAGAGAAAGACCTCCTCAGAGCTGGAGCCTTGCATTTGGACTTCTAACCTCCTGAACTGTGAGAAAGGAGCTCTGGTGGCGCAATGCCTAAGGCACTTGACTGCTAACCAGAAGGCTGGCGGTTCAAACCCACCAGCCACTCCTCGGAAAGAAGACTGGGCCATCTACTTCCGTAGTGACACTGCCTCGGAAACCCAAGGAGGGGTCTCCATGAGTCACAATCAACTTGATGGCAGTGGGTAAACTGTGAGTGAATTAATTTGTTTGTTAAAGCCATCTATCTGTGGTGTTTCTGTTAAAGCAGCACTTGATAACTAGAACACAGGGGGTGACACCAAAATGATTGTCTATAAAATGTTTGTGCTGTGTCACAGTAGAAATGTATTATAATTATTTTTTATAAAAGTATCCCTGTGGTTAGTTACAATCAAAAACATTTTTCAGAAGCCCACTGTTTTGGTTACCTAGTACCGCTCTAACAAGAATATACCAAAAATGGGATGGCTTTAGCAAACAGGAGTTTATTCTTACAATTTGGAGGCTTTAAGTCCAAGTTCAAAGTGCCAGGCTCTAGGGGCTGGGGGAAAGCCCCCCTGAAAGCAGTTCTGTCTCCTGCTCCTGTCCACTGAAGCTGGAGGCTTTTCTTCACTCAGCTGCTGGCTGCTGAGGCTGATAAACCCAAGGTTGACAAGTAAAAAGGCACAGTCCTGATGTTACCAAACCACATGGCAGACCATTAATTCAAGTCTCTTGAAAGTCCCAAGGTCAGCAGAGCATGGCAGATGGCTAAACAACGACACGGCTACATGCAAGGTTCAAGTGTGTCATAGGCTAGAGACTATTCTCA